AGATTGTTAATAGACCTTCCACCAATCCTGATGCCACAATTCTCCTCATAGAGCCCATTATCATCCCTGCTTTCTCATAAAAACATCAGGATAAGACTTATGTTTGCAGTATGTTTTCATATGAACTGAGGAAAAGTAAACTTATACACAAAGAAATATTATACATAAATCCACCAAAAATGTTGTTATTATTATATGCCATGGAGTTGCCTGCAACTCATAGAGACCCTATGCACAACAGCCCTGAAACCTGCTCTATCCTGAGCCAGTCTCACTGACTGCAACACACCCAATCCCATTGCCCCAGTTACTGTATCAATCCACCTCATCTGGGGTCTTCCTCTCCTGCACTGTCCCTCCACCCTTCAAGCATAATGTTCTTCTCCAAGGACTTGTCCCTCCTGGCCATGTGCCCAAAATATGTGAACTGAAGCATCAAAGTCCTAGCCTCCAAGGAGAAACTTGGTTTCACCCTCTCCAAGACAGACTTATTTGTTTTCTTGGTGGTCCACGGTATGTTCAAGACTCTTCTCCAACTTTGACAAGCACTGTGGCAATTGGACAATTAAAACAGACATTCGGATGGCGGGGGAAGAAGAACAAACTGGGGAGGAGGGTAGAGAGAATGGTGCAGCAATGAAGGAATGAAAACCCAAAATCCCTGTAAATGTTCATTAAAAATAATAAAATTTAACAATTAAAAAAAAAAGACTCTTCTCTAGCACCACAACGCAAAGGAATCAATTCTTCTTCTGTCATACTTAGTCATTGTCCAATACAAAGAAATACAGGCTGGTTTTAGAAGAGATAATGGCACTAGAGACATTATCACTAATGTCAGATGGATCTTGGCAGAACTCTGCAAAGGCATTTGACTGTGTGGCTAACCCCGAGGAACATGGGAATCCCAGAACACTTAATTGTGCTCATGGAAAATCTGTATTTGGACCAGAAAGCAGTCCTTAGAACAGAGCAAGGAAACACTACATTGTTCAAAATCAGGAAAGGAGTGCATCAGAGATGTGTCCTATCTCCATACCTTTTCAATCTATATGCAGAACAGATCATTCGGGAGACTGGGCTTTATGAGGAGGAATGTAACATCCGTATTGAGGAAGGGTCATCAACAACCTGCATTATGCAGATGACACAATGTTGCTTGCTGAAACTGAGGAAGTGCTTGCTGCAGAAGGTCAGGGACTGCAGTAGATTCAGTATACAAATGATCATGAAGATGAACTTAACAACAATTAGTTCTGTTTATCATGAGTTGAGTCAAATTAACAGGCAACGAATAGCAACAGCATTTATCTATATATGAATGTAGTTCTTAGGTGCCATTGGGTTGGTTACAACTCATAGCAACACTATGTATAGCAAATTGAAACCTGCCTCACCCTATTCCAGCCTTACAGTTTCAGCTTTGCTTGAGTCCATTACTGCAGTCACTGTGTCATCCCATTTCCTTACAGGTTTTCCTCTCCTTCACTCTCTCTACTTTTTGCAAACATAATGGCCTTTTCCAAGTACTGGCCCTTTCTGACAAGTGCAAAGCATGTGAGAGATAAAATCTCAACCTCCTTGCATCTAAGGAGCACCCTGCTGCACTTAAATAGATACAAATGAAGATGTCTTCTAAGAGGGCCTGAAAGCAGCAACATATCAAAAGGAAGGGACATAAGTCGCACTCAGATCTTGGTTGCTAAATACCTTTCACTTAAAAGAATGAGAGATCATGGGAAGAGCTGATTCCAAGGGTTGGGGCAAGAAATGTACATGAGAGTAGAGATCATTTTGTGCCAGAAAGCAAAGAAGTGCTCACATAGTGGTAGGAGTATGTCAAAGGACCCAGAAGCTAATGTGAATGGGCATCCATTGGCCAACTGTGGGACACTTTGAGCAATAAAATATAGTAAAATTGTTCTAACAGCTTGCTTGGTTCCACAGTCAACACTCTTGGAACCAGTAGTCAGGAAATCAAAAGACAAATTGCCGGCTGGAGCAAATACTTTGCATTATACAAAGAGAAAACGTGTAATTTTACAATGGAGCAATCTGAAAGACATCATTCCAATCAAGTGGTCATAGTGAGCATCAAACTGATAATCCAAAATTGGGTACGACTTGATAGGATGCCTTGAGAAGGATGAAACATCACTCAGTGGCAGTCCTGCTGAAGACGTACGATACCAGCCGAACAAAAAACCACACGGAGGGAGATTCTATAGATTAGCTGGTTGGGTCCACGCAAAGTGCCACTGAAGGGGCCGGGCCGC